TGGGAAACTCAATTGAGGTGGTGATGGGGTTTCGATCACTTGAATTATATTATGAGGAAATGTTGTAATAAATTGATGGTGGGACGTGTTCCCTATTCGAAGTAAAGTCTTGCACAAACGGTTGTATCGAAACCCTTGAATGGATCGGTTGTATTCGAACCTTAGGTATTTATGATGAATAAGGTTGGAGGAGGTTATGGGCAAGGATCTTGTTTTTACCGTCTTTTTTGAGGTCCTCGGTTGGTGCTTCCCGGTTTGTTACTATTAGTAGGAATCTAGGGTAAGGCCTACAAAGCAGCAAAAGAGGGAGCATGCTAAGGGGTTGTTTGGGGTGTCCTAAATAAGTGCACTTTTTGTCTTTTTGAACTAAAAAATTGAGGAAGAAAATATAGATGTTTGGGTTAACTTTTTGACTTTTTATGAAAAAAATGTGTAATAAAAAATTGTAAAAATTGGTTTGTAAGAGAAAATTAGAATTGGGAGTTGTGCAGCCGTAATTGTTGACTTTTGGTGAATAGTGTTAACTTTTTAACTTTTTGAGTAACTTTTTGGCTTTTTGGCTTATTCTGGACTTGTCAAACTTGGCCTAAATAATCTGAGTCCAATTCTTATGGTTGAGAGAATAAAATCTTTTTGGGGGAATCTAGATTACTAACCTCTAATCTTGTAATCATTTGTTATTGAATAATTATTATGCTTCATTACTTATTTGTTATAATTGTGATGGTGTATTAAATTGGAAAAAATGGACGGGGTGTGTGTGCATTTACTGGGCATTCAAAACTCATAGCGTTTCATACTAGGTATTGAAAACTATTAGACCGATCAAAGGCAAAGCTGAAGCATCTAAGAACGTATGGATACCCTAGGAGATTTAAAAACTAATTTGTAAACATGCTTTGAGATTGTAAATGATGAATCTCTTGTTATATTTGAGACATGACTATGTAATTAATATTTTATATATCTTTTGTATTACCTGTCCCTTATATTCTCCTCGACTTATGTGAACCTTGTGTTAATGTCTCATTAAGATCTGTCAAAAATGTAGCTTTGCTATCTACGGTGGTTGGACTTAGAAGAGAAGCTATTTTGACTCCTCCGACCTTCCTGGGATCTTACTATTGGCCAAATGACTTTTTTTTTTTTTATCAGCAAAGAAAAATTTCATTTAACAGCATGAAATTAAAGGTACAAGAAGATGACATGCATCGAGAGAGATTCGGAAGTATAAAAATACCCCTACTACTGCTACTCGCACCCATACAACCAACCCCTAAGCCTCTCGATTTTTTAAACAACCAAGTTAAGAAGAATTTAACTAAAAAATTAAACTACATGAATCCCCACATAATCATCCCACCAAAACCCCCAAAACAAACTAAACAGAAACCAGACAACACCCCAGCAACCTCAACCACCAAAAACAAAATCTAGTCTAATCTAGTCAACCCACCAAATCAAAGCAACAGACCACGCCTCTGCCAAGACCCACTCCACTTGCTGCTACAACTCCCAAAGTCCCACGCCTCAGCTGCTAGCTCATGCTACCCCTAGGCTGCTGCAACTCCCATCTCCCCATGCCCACACTGGCCGAGAATACTCCATAGCCACCACCGGGAAAGCTCCATGCTTCAACACCCCTACTGTAACACAAGAAAACTCCAAGCTGCTGCAACTCCGCTGCTGAAGACAGCTACACCCACTGCCATGAAGACTCCAAGCTTCAACACCCACTGCCAAATGACTTATTAGTAACGTTTCCTTCTTTTGTAACCTTAGATAAATCACGTTTTTATTTGTTAATATATTCATTGATATTCCCGATTTTTGGGGCGTCACACACCGACTAACCCAAACCCCTCTCCAAGATAGTCAACACGGAGTAGTGGTAAGTCTAGTCTTAAGCTCTTAGAATGACTTTTCACAAGTCTCACTCCAAACAAACTTAACTCTCTTCCTCGTCAATCTAGTCAAAGGAGAAACCAACCTAAAGAAATCTTTCACAAAGTATTGGTAATACCCAGCTAAGCCTAAGAAATTTTGGATCTCAAAGGCATTCTTAGATTCCTCCAAATCCTGTACTGCATCTATCTTAGATGAATTTACAGTCACCCTTTCCCCATATATAACATGACCTAGAAATTTAACCTTCTTGAGCCAAAGCTAACACTTCCTGAACTTAGCATACAAGCAGTGTGTTCTAAGTAATTCAAGTGCAACTCACAAGTGCCCCACGTGTTCCTCCTCGAAGGGTGAGTAGACTAAAATCTCGTCAACAAAGACAACCACGAACCGGCCTAGAAAGTTACGGAAAACTTATATCATCGGATGTATAACAAATTAAAAACAAACATCTATTATGCCACATTACTATGGTTAAATTATAAGAACTTTTTAAAAAAATTCAAACATTTTTCTTTATAATTTTCTATGGCTCGCACAAAGACACTGTCACCCTCATTTTAGGATTGACGCTAGATATCACTAATATATTACTCTTAAATCTATTTATATAGAATTGGGAGGCATTAGTTCTTACAAAAATATTTTTTAGTGATTTTGGCTTCCTACAGTTGATTTGCAAGTTGCAACATAAAATCCGATCTGAGGATGGATTTTTGCAATTAGCTCACCCTCTTTAAAGGAATCAAAAATGGATATGTCAATAACTCACGTGCCATTGTAAGTAGTTTAAAGGTAACATTTTGGAGGTGTTAAGCATTTTTTAGTTCTTTTGGGTCATGTTTGTTTGGGCGGACTGCATTAACATTCCTATGATTAATAGTCTTAGGACTACGAATTCGTTGGATTATGTATCCTATCTTAACTAATAGTCAAGTTTAAAATAATTAGTCCGTACTTCAATTGTTTAACCAAACATCAGATTAATAATTTTATTGGACTATTAGTCCAATCCCAAGCTCATATCCACGCAAACAAACATGGCCTTAATATATGAAAGTTTGTTTTCTAAGCCTCGTTTGTTAACATTTTTATTTTTATTTTTTCTTAAATTGAAAACAAAAAAAATATTCAATATAATCTTAGGAAAAAAAAAAAAGGGAATTGATTCAATGATCTTTTTAAAAAATTCAACAAAAAAAATTCATTTTTTTAAAGCCAATTATAACTCTCTTTTCCCAACTAGAGACGATCACTACTTGTGTCATGACCTCCACGACCACCTCCAAGTGCCCCTCTAGCCACCTCGTAACCTCCCCTGTAGCCACCCCAGAACCTCTGGGCACCCTCATTGTTGGCCATCACATGCATCCACCTTCTATTGTTGATCATCTCTAATTATTACCCAAACATGTTTTATTTTTATTATTATTTTCAAAACATCAATGTACACTAATCAAGTTTTTTTAGCCATGTTTGGTTTGATTTTTAAAAATTTATTTCAGAATTATTTTTTATAAAATTAAAAATTAATTTGGTAAAAGAAATTTAAAAAAATAAAATCACTTATCATTTTTATATAATTTTATCTTTTGGAGGATCAAAAATATTTTTTAAAAATATATTTTTTTTATATTTATGTTTATCAAATTAGTTTCTATTTATTTTATTTTTTTAAAAAAATTGAATTATTTTTTCAAAAACCATACCAAACATGGCCTTGTTTTTCTAGTATTTCATAAACAATTAAAAGAAAACTGACTGCATTACCAAACAAAAATGTTTTAAAAAATTTTGTTTGATAATTTAGGCCTCGTTTGCTAACATTTTCAATTTACAAAAAACAAGAAAGAAGTTCTTATTTATTTTTGTAAAAAAATAAAACTGAAAAATTGTTAGGTGAACACAAATATTTTGAAAATAAAAAATATATATATACATACATAAATATATTTGATGAGTTGCCAAATTTTGTGGCTCAAGATAAGAGGGTGGACGGATGTGATGACCAGTAATGGCGCATAGTCGAAATTATCCACTAGAGTTAGTTGTAAGATGTTGGAGGGCATGAAGTGGCGAAGATCGCGATGGTGACCACCCCCTGTCGGAGGGCCACCGGTAGTTGGTGGGCGATCGTGGCAGTGGGTAGTGGAAAAAAAAAAAATTATTTTAAAAACAAGTGAAAATAATTTTTTTGCATTTTTAAAAAATTTAAAAATTTTGAAATCAATTTTATTTTTTTAAACGAAAACAACAATATACCAAATATTTTGGTTTCAATTTTTTTTTTAAAAATGAAAACAAAAACAGAAAATAAAAAATAAAAATGTTAACAAAAGACTCTTATTAAGTGACAATTTTGTTTTTGTTTTGTTTTTGTTTTTATTTTTTATTTTTTTGGTAGGAGAGTAATGACAAATTAATGGTTGTTAGGGGTTGGAAATGTCAAGTAGTTTTTGCACGCGGGCCACATGTGCGGTTGCCCGACGTCAAAGACTTGTCACGACTTTTGTGTCTGTCCACTGTGGACTTTCCATACCATACGCTTCACTGATTTATAGGCTTGTTTGTTTTGGGGAACAAGAGTTCGAAATGGAATTGAGATGGAGGTAAGATTTATTGTATATTGTGTTTATTTTGAAAGATAGAGAGAGAATTCATAATTTTATAAGATTAGGATGAGTCTTAGTGTTGAGATTGAGATGGAAGAGATGGAGACGGTATTAGAAAATTAATTCTATGACTTAAGATTTTTTTTTTATTATTATTATTTACATGTTGGATATTTTTTTTAATATTAACGTTTAATGTTTTCATATTTTTTGATAAGTAAAAATCATAATTTTATTTATATTAATATTTTATAATTTTATTTATTTGAATATTTTATATGATAATAATTTAACAATTCTCACACGAACAATTATCATATCAAAACAAACACAATTTTATTTAATCTTTTCGCTACCAATTCACTTCATTCCATTTCTAAAAACAAATAAGGTTCATTCTTTTTATTACATTTTCCAAGACTCCACTCTTCTTTGTGATTCAGCTCCTTCAGCTCCTTTCTTCATTTGAAGACAGTATCAGAGATGGATGAAGAGGAAGAAATAAATCTAAACCGTGCCGATTTCTCAACGGTACAGCATAAGATTATGATGCTAAATTATGCCAACCGTTCAAGTTCCTCAAGAGTACAGTTGCTACAGCAGATGATTACGAAGCAAACGTACGGCAACCGTGCCAGTTTCTCAAGAGTACAGCATATGAAGCAAATTGAGAAAGGAGGCCATTCCATCTTTAAGGTTCCCCAGAGCCTCAAAAAACTCGAACTCGATGCATTTGTACCCCACATTGTTTCAATTGGCCCTTATCATTGGCACAAGGACCATCTCATGGAAATGGAAACCTACAAGTGGATACTTCTGCAACATGTCCTCAACCGAGCAGGTATGCCACTTAGAACCCTCAAAGAGAAAATGTCTAAGTTTGAAAGGGCCACACGGAAGCACTATGACCAGCTCTTTGAAAATATCAACGATTTTGTGCAAATGATGCTGCTCGATGCTTGTTTCATACTCGAGTTGTTTTGTGTTGATGCCCATGGATGGAAGAAATACAGGCACACCTCAGACCCTTCTGGTCGGCTTAATATGAAGGGTTTCATGCCTTTTATTCGACGGGATTTGTTAATGCTTGAAAATCAATTACCACTTTTTGTACTTCAAGAAATGTTTACCCTCCTTGATTGGAAAAAAAGAACACCGAATGAATCGGTTCATAGCCTTGCTATTAAGTTTTTCGACCAACTCATACCTGGGATTTCCATAAATCTACCCGAGCATCTAAAAAATAGACCTCCACCACCACCACTAGCAGCAGCAGAAAATAGACGACTGCCATCAGCAGAAGAAAATAGACGACCACCGCCACCAACAGCAACCGAAGAAAATAGATCACCACCCCCACCAGCAGCAATAGCAGAAAATAGACCACCGCCCCATCCAGAAAACAGACTATCCCCGCCACCTCATCCAGAAAATAGAGCACCACCACTATCAGCAGAAGAAGAAAATAGGCCACCACTGCCACCAGCAACAGAAGAAGAAAATAGACTACCACCCACACCAGTAGCAGGAGCAGCAGAAGATAGACCACCACCACCAACAGAAGAAAATAGACCACCAGCAACAGCAGCAGTAGAAGAAGAAGAAAATAGACTACTACCCCCACCAACAACAATAGCAGAAAATAGACCACCACCCCAACCAGAAAATAGACCACCACTACTAGCAGAAGAAAATAGACCACCACCACAAGCAGCCGAAGAAGAAAATAGACCACCACCAGCAGCAGCAGCAGAAGAAGAAAATAGACTACCACCACCACCACCACCACCACCGGCAGCAGCAGCAAAAAATAGACCACCAACCCCACCACTACCCCATCTAGAAAATAGACCACCACCGCCACCCCATCTAGAAAATAGGCCACCACCACAAGCAGAAGAAAATAGACCACCACAAGAAGCAACAGCAGAAGAAAATAGACCACTATTGCCACCAGTAGCAGAAGAAGAAAATAGACTACCACCCCTACTAGCAGTAGCAGCAGAAAATAGACCACCACACCCACCACCACCCCATCCAGAATAGACCACCACCACCGCCTTCATCACCCCCTATCCAGAAAATAGACTACCACCACCACCACTCCATCCAGAAAATAGACCATCACCATCGCCACGACGACCACCACCACCACCACCACCACCACCACCATGCCTTCACGTTCTTGACATTGTTCACCAGTCCCTAAAACCATCCCCATTGGCCAAGCCCAACAAACATTGGATTTGCACTCACGGTAACTGTCTCATTTCTTCTCCCATATCGCTTCCTTGTTTTTCCATGACTATTTGTGTACAGGACAACGAGCTGGAGAGAGCATCATCCTCATCATCATCCGATCCACCTGACATAGTGATGCACTCTGTTACAAGTCTAAGGAGTACAGGCATTGGATTTAAAGAAATTAAGAATTGGAAAAAATTCACTGATATCCAGTTCGACCACAAGAATCGTTTGCTCTTAATCCCACGCCTTCATATCAATGGCTCTACTAAGTCCATCTTGCTTAACCTCATGGTTTTTGAGCAAGGTTATCCATTTTGTAGCAGATATATCACTTCGTACACCAGTTTCATGGACGGATTGGTAGACTCTCCTAAAGATGCACAGCATCTGGTTGAGAAACGAATTATATCTCACGAGCTGGGAAATGAAGACAATGTAGCTACTCTCTTCAACAATATTCGCAGAGAAATATACTTCAAACTCGTACCCGACGATTACTATCTCTATGATGTATCCCAAAAGCTGAATGAGCATTACAAACAAAAATGGAGAAGTTGGTTCGCCACATTGAAGCATGAGCATTTCAAAGACCCTTGGAAAACTACTGCTCTCTTTGCAGCTACTCTTCTTATTCTTCTCGCAATAATACAGGCCGCCTACACTGTGTTTGGTCATTCCTTTAATCATTCTTAAAATCTTTTCCTCTCCAGAATATTGTATGATCATCTAATAAAGCCACTGACTCATGATGCCCCCTATGGTTGGGTTGAACGCCCGGCTGTGGCTACCGTGGTAAAGGAGGAGCAGAGTGCTGCGTGGTGGAGCGTGGATTGGAAAGCGTGGGAGACGCCGCGAAATAATTTTCTATTGGCATGGGAGATAGCTTTGGGCTACGGTGGAGAGACTGTTTGGGGCTCAATGTATTTTGAATTTTAGTTAAGATGTACTTCACATTTTTTTTTCATTTTTTTTTTAAATGAACGAGAGGTTGGTTGTACGGATGTGGTCGAGAAGTTGGTTGTACAGATGTGAGTAGTAGTATAAGATAATTTTTACTTTCTGGATCTCTCTCAATGTGTTTTTTTTTTTCTTATATCTTTAGTTTCATGTTTTTAATTAAATTTTTACTTTGCCGATTAAAAAAAAAAAGTATGTAAAAAGTGTCTTGAAAAAATATAAAAATATTTAAAAAAATATATTAAATTTAGTAAAAAGTGTATTACGTTATACAATTTTTTGTCTTTTACTTCTATCCTAAAGACAATTGTTAGTAAGACTCATTAAATTTGATCCTCATTATTGAGCAAAGCATTTATATTAAAAAAAATCAAAATCATCAGAAATTAGTGGTTACATAACCGTGTCACATTTTTATTAAAATCGTTGGACCGTTTATTATTAAAATTATATGTAGTCATTCAACCTTTTAAAAATAAATTCCATCCGTTCATATAAGTATTACATTCAATTAATTTTTCACATAGATTCTTTGCTCGATGAACTTTATTTACATGATAAATGCATCAAATCACCAATATACGCTGACCAAGCCCTAGATGCCTAGCTACATAGAAGTGATTTCCTTTGGTTTTACACATATAGTCAGCTCCATGTCCATCAATTTATTAAGACTCCGCTTATTTTGATATAAAATATTTTTATCTTAATAAATTTTTTTATGTAAATTAATTATACACACAAAAAATATTTTTCTTCTTATTTTTTCACGTTTAGTTGACAAAACAAAAATTTTCTATTGTCTCCATTACGATATATCAAGCAGTTTGTGCGCTTAAAGATTAAAAAGGTAAACTTTGCTAAAAGTGTCAGTGTCGAGCGTGTTGAGAGCTTGCTCAATATAAACTTACAGCTTTTCATCGATAAGTCGTTTTTGGGATCATGATGGAAAAAAATATTTTATATTGAAACAAACGGGGCCTAAATTAATAAAAGAAAAATATCACATCAATGGAATTTGAAAAAAACAATTGAGAAATTTTATAAATAACAATAATTATAATTATAAATTTTTTAATGTATATGCTTCTTTTTCTTTTTCTTTTTCTTTTTCTAACATCCATTAGGGTATAATTATCCCATTAATAAAGCTCGTGACAATTATTTACTTATTTATTTTAAAATCAAATTTCATTAAACTGATTTACAAAATATAACATTTTCCATATACAATGCCCCTATGCAGAATTAACATAAAATGAACTAGCTCAAGCGTTTTGAGTAATATGTATAAGGCAAGGCAAAATCACTATTTGGACAGAATTATTACATGCACTACAAGAAAAGTAGGCTTACAAGACGGAACTTTTTGCGACGGCACATTTGCCGTAGCAAAAACAACTTGCTGTTGCGAAAAATAAAATATTTGCGACGGTAGAAAATACTATCGTGAAAAAGGAGAGCATTTGCGACGGCATAAATTGCTATCGCAAAAAAAATAGAGTATTTGCGACGGTAGAGATTGCTGTCGCAAAAAATAGAGAGTATTTGAGACGGTAAAGATTGTTGTGGCAAAAAAATAGAGTTTTTGCAACAACACCAGTTGCAGTCACAAAAAAAATGAGTTTTTTGCGGCTGCAATAGGTACCGTTGAAAAAAAAAAAGAAGGTAAATATATATATATATATATATATTGTGGCTTTGAGACGACTTTATATATAGTCACAAAATGATTTAAATAAATGCAATGGTATTTTTCTGTCACAAAAAAAAATTAAAAAAAATGATGTCGTCTTACTCTTTTGATATAACATTTCCCTTTTCACCCATTTTTTCATTTTCCTGTCTCTTTGTCTCTGTCTCTGTCTCTCTCTATCTCTTCTCTTCCTCTTTCTCACTCATCACTTTTCTCTGTCTGTCTGTCTGTCTGTCTGTCTGTCTCTCTCTCTCTCTCTCTCTCTCTCTCTTTCTCTCTATGTTTCTGTCTCTCTTCTCTTTCTCTTTCTCACTCATCATTTTTCTCTCTCTGTCTGTCTGTCTGTCTGTCTCTCTTTCTCTCTATGTTTCTGTCTCTCTTCTCTTTCTCTTTCTCACTCATCACTCTTCTCTATCTGTCAATCTGTTTCTCTATTTCTCTCTGTGTCTCTTGCCCATCTCTCTCTCTCTCTCTCATTTATCTCTTTTTGCTCTCTTTGTCTCTCTCTCTCTCTCCCTCTCTCTTCACTTTCTCTCTATCACTCATTACTCTTGTCTGTCTGTCCGTCTCTCGCTTTCTCTCTGTGTCTCTCGTTTATCTCTCTTCTCTCTATCTTTCTCATCTCTCTTCTCTCTATCTCTTTCATTTCTCTTCTTTCTTTGTTTGTCTCGCTCATCTCTCTTCTCTCTATCTCTCTCTCTTGCATCTCTCTTCTCTCTATGTCTCTCTCTTTTTCTATGTCTCTCTCTCATTCATCTTTTTTCGCTCTCTTTCTCTCTCTTTGTCTATCTCTCGTTCATCTTTTGTTTCTCTCTCTCTTTTTGTCTCTCTCTCTATGTCTTTCTCTTTCACTCATCACTATTCTCTCTCTCTCTCTGTCTGCTTGTCTGTTTATTTGTCACTCTTTCTCTCCCCCATTGTGTTCGCCTTGCTCACTTTCTTCCTCATCTCTTCTCTATTTACCAAGCTCTCTCTCAATTTATCGATCCACTACAAGAAAATGCACTTTTAGCGACCACTTTGTCTCTCACTCGTTCATCACTCTGTCTCTCTCTCTCTCTCTCTCTCTCTATCTCTCTTCACTATCTATCTCTCATTCATTTCTCTCTCTCACTATTCATCTCCTCTACCACCTTCACCACTACTGTAAATGTCACTCCACTACCACCACTGTTGCCACTCCACCTCTATGACTATTACCACCAACATTGCCACCATTCCACAGCCACCACCACTACCACTACTGCCACTACTACCATCATTACCTCTCTTCTACCATCACCACTCCATCATCTCTACCACTACCACGACTTCACCACTAATCTCCTTTGCCATCACCACCACCATCACCTCTTATCCACCACCTTCACCACTGCTGTCGCTCCCTCTGAAACTTGATTCAAATTTATTTTTTAAAGACTAAAAATTAGTTTCATGAAAAAATTTAAAAAATCAAAACTACCATACTTGTCAATTTTATATAATTTTACGAAGGATATGATCAGCTTGTTTGGTTTAGATTTTCAGTATTTATTTTTCAGGAAATTGAAAATTTTCATTATGTGTGTGCGTTTTTTTTATTTTCATTTTTTATGTTTTCACTATTTTTTTTAATATTCAAAGAATTTTTTTAAATTTTTAAATACACCACACATAAATACACTTTAAAAATATAATATTTGTGATTAAATCGTATTCTTGTGCATTTATTGATTTTTAAATTTTTTTTGGACAAATATTTTACTTTTTAGGTACATCTAAGTAAGGTGCATCTAAAAATATAAAAAATAAAAATTACTTAAAATTTTAAAAATTCACTAAAAATAAAAAAATATACGAAAAATAAAAAACCCAATTTTCAAAAAATTAAATCAAAAAAATCAAAATCAAACAATTTTTAAAAATTCAAAAATACATTTTTTAAAAGAAAATCAACCAAACATGATCTGAAGTTTTTATCTCCTTCCCAAATTTCCCAATGTCCGAATTTCCCACAAAACCCTATCTCTGTGATTTCGTTTTCCCTCTCTTTCTTTTTACGCTCAACTCTCTGCCTCTCTCCTCATTCTCTCACTCATCTCCGTCATTTCCATTGGTCCTGTTTGGTGTAGCTGTTAAAACAGATTATAGATTATACCTTAATAGATTATAGATTATGACTTTAATCAGAAGCTGTTAATCTATTTGGTGTAGCTGTTGGATTGTAGATTTAAGTTGCTCAGTAGTGTTTGTTAAATAAGCTGTGAAGCAGTTTTTTCAATTAATTTTTATTTTTTGTTATTCACTATTTGTTTACATTTCTTATAAAAAATAATAATAATATTCTATAATCCATTTGGGTCTTTTCTATTTTTTAAAAAATAAAAAATAAAAAAAAATCTAAGAGTATAACCGTGAATTAACATGTTCACAGTAGAAACTGATAATCAGAAGTAAGGGGTGAGTAGTTTCTCAGAATCAGCTTTTTTAACTTAAAATAAGTTATTAGAATCAGAAGCTGTTTGAAATAAGTTTAACCAAACAGCTCAAAATAACTTTTCAAAAGCCAGAAGCCATAAGTTAGCTCAAAAAAGCCCAAACAAACACCTCCATTATCTCGCCAAAGCCACCGATCCTCACCGCCACCATCATGATCATCACCACGATCACAACCACCATTACCAACACGATTACGGTGGCCATGCCAAGCTGACTAGGGCACATGAAGCGTTTCTTCGATTCGCCAAAATGATTAGGTGGACCAATTTAGCGGACTTCTTGTGGGAACACTTGGAGCTGTGATGTTGTGCCACGGCTCTATTTATCGCTACCGCAGCTTGTCCCTACTTGCTTCCGAAGCCAACCGTGAAGCCTCTGCAGCGTGTTTTCATTCTCATTGCTTTCCCTCTCGTTGGGGTATGAGTATTCTCTCCCAATTTTTCCTAATTTTGATTATGGATTGGTAAACTGATATAATTTCATACTCAATTGGCCTGAAGGTGAAAAGCAAAATTTGATGGGTAAGGTGACAATTTTTGTTATTTTGGGTTAGATTTGGCCA